ACTACTCTCAACATCATCTCGTTGTCTAGCAAGATATGTCTAGTTCTCCCTCTACTTACCTATCCATTAGGAAAGTGGAACTTTCTTGACCTTCGAAAAGGTATAAAATGGTTTTATAAATATGGTATGGTATATGGACTAATTTTTTAGGTGCTACTTGCTTGCTTCAAGCACAATACTTTGATTTCTTTTTAAAGTTTTAGACAGAGGTGGAGCCAAGATTTAAAATTTATGAGTTTTAGATTCTTTTTATGTTACTGGGTTCTAAATTGATAAAATGTATAAATTCAAAAGATTTTAAAGACAAATACAAGATTTAAACTAAAACTACTGGATTCAGACTGAACCTGTAGCTGATATTCTAGCTCCGCCCCTAGACTTTTTTATTAGCATCCTCAAATACTAAAGTGGTCTTATTGCCCCTTCTTTTGTCACACTTTTTAGCTAGTTTTCTCAAAATGCATGAAAAGGAAGAGATGCTCTATTTCATCTTTTAAGTTCAATTCTTGAGGCTATATCTTGAATTCATTTTATTTTTTTTAAATAAATAAAATTGAGGGCCTAAGAAAGAGATTACAATGTGGGGAATCGAATACTCACACAGGCAGACAATCAACTGAGTTACGAGATTCTCCTTTATCTTGATTTCACATGATTTGCTATATTTTGTTGTGATTCAAGTTGTCTATCTATTTTAGCTTTAGGTTATCAGTTCTGTTCCTATTTCAGGCTAATTGCAAATGATTTGAGGCTTTGAAGGTTTACGAGGATGTTGGACTTAAACAAAATAGAACCTGAAGAAGGAAAGCTAGACTTGGATCTTCGTCGCGTTAACTATGATCTTGATGACAAATCTCATCTTAGATATGGTGATTGGGTCACTTTCAAGAGCCATTCATCTAAAAAAGTTAGAATCTCTCGACCTGAATCTCCGAGAGGTGAAAATTCAGATAGACAACCTCAGGATGCAGATTATCCCTCACTTAGCTATGAACTCGAAAGTGAGATTCTATCCAGGTTTCCTAGGTGGGAGTATTGGAAACTTAGCCTCGTAAACAAGAGATGTTCAATGCTTCTAAAGAGTGGTGAGATATTTGAGATTCGTAAAGAGAATGGATTTAAAGAACCTTCGGTATATATGTTAGCAAGTGGGGAGACTAATTGGTGGACGTTTGATAGAGAGTTTAATTCCCGGAGGAAAATCCCTGATTTACCATCAGATGTGTGCTTCACATTTGGCGATAAGGAATCGCTATGTGCAGGCACACATTTACTTGTTTCGGGTAGGGAAATCGATGGTCTTGTTATATGGAGGTTCGAATTAGCAACGAATTGTTGGTACAAAGGTCCTTCTATGGTTAATCCAAGATGTTTATTTGCATCAGCTACTTGTGGCACCTCTGCTTTTGTTGCTGGTGGTGTTGGTATTATGGCGAACAGTGAGGTCTATGACACAGCTGAGAAATACAACCCCGATAGCAGATCGTGGGACCCACTACCGAGGATGAAGAGGAAGAGGAAGCTTTGTTCAGGATGTTACATGGACAAGAAATTCTACGTGATCGGGGGGAGGAATGAGAACGGAGAGCTTACCTGTGGAGAATTCTTCGATGAGGGTAAGAACAAGTGGGAGCTGATTCCGGACATGTTGAAGGATGATCCAGTCCTAACATGCCACTCACCACCCCTCATTGCTGTCGTGAACAATGAGCTGTACTCACTCGAGGCATCTTCAAACCAGCTGAAGCTTTACCTGAAAAAAACCAACACTTGGAAAATGTTAGGACAAGTGCCAGTTAGAGCTGATTCAAACAGAGGATGGGGCATTGCTTTCAAGTCATTGGGAAATGAACTTCTTGTAATCGGAGCTGCTTCATCGTCAGCCTCTTATTCGGGTAATTCCATGGCTATATATACTTGCTGTCCAGATCCTGATGCAATTGAGTTGCAGTGGCAACCTCTTGACAGTGGTCGAAATCGACTTAGTAGCTTTATCTTAAACTGTTCTGTTATGGTAGCTTGAATAATGTCATTTATCTAGCAAACAACTTGTGTATTATGATCAAAATATATAAGTGGCATATGGCCACTGGTTTATGATATTTCTTGCATATATTCACTAATGTTTGCTCTGCTATGTTTGATGTAATTTGCATTTATTGTTGCATTATTATGATTTATATTGAGGTGTTGTTCTAATATGGGAATAGTGTTATTCTACACGATTTAGATTTTTATTACTTTTCTTAAACTTTACTTAAGTGAACCAAGTTGCCTAACGTGTGTTTCAATGATATAGTAAAGACATTAAAGTAAGAACACAAAATTTAACGTGGAAACACCCGGCTCAAAAGGTATAAAAACCACGACTTGTTCCTCAACAGGATTTACCCTCAAATTCACTAAATATCAATGAGCCTCAACAACCAAAGAGATAACAAGAATTTATGTAACCTAATGATTAATCAACTAATCTCTATGCTAGCACAAACCTCCAAGGTGTGTGTTCCCAAGTCATCGAGTTGGTCTTAACTTGAAGACTAAAATCCTATATTCAGTTTATAGATCATTGAACTATCAATACATTGAAACCACAAACACCAAGAAAACTTCCTCGAACCTATACTCTGTGATAAGACATGTTCTTCAGTGTTCTTCGTTAAATAACACCTTGAAAAGTCAATCTGTCAATTGCCTTTTGCTTTGTGAGTGTGTAATGAATCTCGATGAGAACTTTTCCTAGAGATGACAACCCATTCATCAACTTAGTGAGTCTAGTAATCATTTATAATAAAGGTTTGCCTTCCTTCATCTAGGTTTCATATTCAGTGTACAACATAGCGACTCAAAATTTCCTTACTTGACTGGTTCCTTCATGAGTATTGCCAAGTGCATCCCGTTATTGGTTGGCTGTAGTACGATCCTATTATACTCATCTGGTCCAAGGCCACAAACTAGAATGTTTTCGATCTTAGCATTCTTTCTGAGAGCTGAGATCTTCAGCAGTAAAGTCAATCCTTACCTTTGGAACTTGAACTCCTTCCACAGTTTTCATAGGAATGGTAGGTCCATTAGTTATCCCATTCCAGAGTTCATAATCTTCACCTTGGATGAAATCTTCCATGAGTGCTTTCCACCAACCAAAGTGAGACCCGTTGAACATTGGAGGTCTGACAATTGATTGTCCTTCGCTATGCCCAATAGGTGGTGCATAATTCATTGCGATCTTTCTATTAGGTGTAACCTTCCTCTGATACCAATTGTTGTTCTACACAATCTAGATTTTTCTTACTTTTCTTAAACTTTACTTAAGTGAACCAAGTTGCCTATCATGTTTCGATGATAGAGTAAAGACAGTAAAGTAAGAACACAAGATTTAACATGGAAACATCATACTAAAAAGATGTAAAACCACGACCTGTTCCTCAACAAGATTTACCCCCAAATTCACTAAATATCAATGAGCCTCAACAACCAAATAGATTACAAGACTTTATGTAATCTAATGATCAATCAACTAATCTCTATGCTAGCACAAACCTCAAAGGTATGTGTTCCCAAGTCTTCAAGTTCCCCTCAACTTGAAGACTAAAATCCTATATTCAGTTCATAGATCACTGAACTATCAATACATTAAAACCAAAAACACCAAGAAAACTTCCTAGAACCTAGGCTCTGTGATAAGACCCGTTCTTTAGTGTTCTTCATTCAACAACACCTTGAAAAGTCAATCTCTTAATTGCCTTTTGCGTTGTGAGTGTGTGATGAATCTCGATGACTATTCCTCTATTTAAGCTTTTGCTTCTCTTGCAGTTTACTTCCTTGAGAACTCTTCTTCCGTTAGTAACTCCACTTTGATTAGAGTCCTACCTGCAGCCGAATCTTCAATAGTCTTAGATTGAGTAGAAGTCCTTTTTGAAACAGTTTCCCGTGTAACCGTTGAGCCTATTTGTTCTGGAAAATCTTTTTAATTTTTCCATGTTTGGTTGTCTTAAATGTTTTGGAAAATGTCTTTCAAATCAACTTGTTTTCCTCAAATTTAAGGAAAATGACTTCCCTTCAAAAATTAAGAAAAACATTTTCCAAAACTCTACTTCATCCTTAAATTACAATTTATTTTTCATACCCTACCTGTATCCCGTACCCGACCCTCCCCATCCAAAAAAAAATAAATTTTGTAAATTTTCTTATTTTTTAATTTTCAAATATATTTTTACCCCTACCATCAAACCAGCACCCAGCCCTCCTACGCCCCAAACCACCACCCCCCCAAACAAAAAAAATTAAAAAATTACTTTTAAAAAATATTTTAAATTTTAAGATTATTTTTACCTCATCCAACCCTTATCACCCCTATCCCACCCCCCACCCCCAACACAAAAAAATTATTTTGAAAAAATATTTCAAAATTTTAAAATTTCATTTTTTGACCCACCCCATACCCTAACCCCATGACCCCTCCCCCCGGTCTAATTTTTTTTTAAAAAAATATTTTTGAAAAATATTTTAAATTTAATATTTTTCATTTTTACTCCACCTGCCACTCCTACCACCCACCACCCACCCCACCCCCAGCCACTTCCACCAATTTATTTTTTTTAAAAATTGTTTTTGAAAAATATTTCGAATTTTCAAAATTTCTTGTTTTTACGCCACTCCTAGTTTGGGTGTCAGGGTTGGGTCCGAGGTCGATTGTTGCTGATTTTTGGATCAGAAATTATTTTCTAGTCTCAAGCCAAAAATAAAAGATATTTTCTAGAAAATATTTTTCATTCATCAATCAAACATGAAAATATAAGTTAGAAATCCACTTATTTTCTAACTTATTTTCTAGGAAAACATTTATTTTCTAGTCTCAAGCCAAAAATAAAAGATATTTTCTAGAAAATATTTTTCATTCATCAATCAAACATGAAAATATAAGTTAGAAATCCACTTATTTTCTAACTTATTTTCTAGGAAAACATTTTCCATAGAAACATTTTGCTTTCCTACCAAACACACCCAAAAAATCAACTTGTTTGACTACTTTCATGGACTCTGAAGAGAAAAGTATACCTCCGTCAACACTTATTTTCTCTTATTGTTTCGTTCATCATCTTCTTTACCATGGAAATGAAGAACAATCATTCGTTTCTAGTACTTTTTTTGTGCTTTAGTCTCGGTACCAATCTTTCTATCGGAGAAGACACCATTTCTATGAATGAATCTGTTTCTTCAGGGCAAACAATTATCTCTTCAAGTGGGACCTTTGAGCTTGGTTTCTTCACACCAGGTAACTCTTTTAAATATTATCTAGGCATATGGTACAAGAATATTTCATCGCAAACTGTAGTTTGGGTAGCAAATAGGGAGACACCAGTTAGTGATGCTGCTCACTTGACAATTATTCAAGGCAACCTAGTGCTTCTCGATAAATTTCAAAGCTTAGTTTGGTCAACAAATATTTCAAGGAGTGTACCTCCAAAAAATTTAGTCATAGCAGTTCTTTGTGACGATGGAAATTTGATTTTGAGTGATTTGTCATCAAACTCATCAATACCGTTACTACTTTGGCAAAGTTTTGACTACCCAACACATGCATTTTTACCTGGTGGTAAGGTTGGATATGACAAACGCACACAAAGAAAACAGGTTCTGATTTCATGGAAGGATTTGAACGATCCGTCACCTGGATTGTTTTCCATGGAATTAGACCCACGGCGTGCCCAACTTGTTATAAAATGGAATAGGACAACACAGTATTGGGCAAGTAGTTCATGGAATGGCCGGACGTTCAGCTCAGTACCTGGGATGAGGTTAAACTACATATTCAATTACAGCTATATCGACAATGAGAATGAGTCATATTTTACATATTCCCTTTATAATAGTGAAATCCCATCAAAATTTATCATGGATGTCTCAGGACAAATTAAGCAACTCTTATGGTCGACTAGTTTGGATGATTGGTATCCATTCTGGGCTCAACCAACGGAACAATGTGATGTTTACGCCAATTGTGGGGCATTTGGAGTTTGCAACAATGTTAATTCATCCTGCAATTGCTTGAGCGGTTTCAAAGCAAGATCTGATGCAGAATGGAATTCAAATAATTATTCCAGTGGCTGTGTAAGAGTAAGAGACCAAGAGGTGCAGTGTAACGGAATTACTGAAGACAAGGATAGCTTTTGGATGAATTCAATAGTGTCATTACCTGCTTCTCAAGATACTAATATCACAGTTGCGGAAGCCTCACAGTGTAGATCTGCATGTTTCAACAATTGCTCTTGCACTGCTTATACCTATGATGTTTCTGGTGCATGTTCATTTTGGACCGGGGATCTGTTCAATCTACAACAACTCAGCAAAACTGAAACAGAAAAAACTATCTTTGTCAAAAGTGGCTCACCTGAAGGTTAGAATAACATAAAATAACTTAGCTTAATAAGTATCGAGGTCCACTTTTGCATTATGTTTTTCGAGAAAGATGTTAAACATATCTGACTTGTTTTTGGCTCTCTACTTTCAGATCAAACTAAGGCTAAGAAATCGATGAAGCTGGTAGTTCTACTTTCATCCACAACAGCTTTTATCGTTCTATTCATAGGAAGCTTTAGTTACATTTACTATAGAAGAAGAAGAAGAAGAATGACAAAAGGAACAGGTATTTACTGAATGAATCTCACTCTGGAAAATATTTCGTTCGTACCTTTTTTTAACTTAATTTGCTTTCTCAATCTTATTGAGGTAATGAGGTCATTCTGTTTTTCTTATTCCTTTTCCCTAAATGATACTCAAGGGACACAAATATCTCACTTGGACAAGATTGGAGGAGGAGAAATCATTGATGTTCCATACTTTTGTTTGGAGACCATTTTGGTAGCTACAGATAACTTCTCGAATGCAAATAAGCTCGGACAAGGAGGATTTGGTCCTGTTTACAAGGTTAAAATATAATTATTGCACCTCTGTGTACTGGTATGGCTTAATTGACCAATAGTAATGAGATGAACAACTTTTAACAGGGTATCTTTCCAGGCGGAAAAGAAATTGCAGTGAAAAGGTTATCTAGTCATTCAGGACAAGGCATAGATGAATTTAAGAATGAAGTGACTTTAATTGCAAAACTTCAACACAGAAATCTGGTCAGGCTTTTGGGCTATTGCATCAACGGAAAGGAACAAATTTTACTGTATGAATATATGCCAAATAAAAGTTTAGATACATTCATATTTGGTAAGTTTGCCAAGGTATGTTCTTTATTCTCAAGCACCTATACTATTGACAAGATTTAATCTTTGTCATGATATTTATGCAAGATGGAGAACTTTGCAAATTATTGGATTGGAAGAAGCGCTATGACATCATATTGGGTATTGGACGAGGTCTTGCTTATCTCCACCATGATTCACGACTAAGGATCATTCATAGAGATTTAAAAACCAGCAACATTTTACTAGATGAGGATATGAATCCCAAGATTGCAGACTTTGGCTTGGCGAGGATTGTTGAAGGAAGAAGAACAGAAGCAAAGACAGAGAAAATAGTTGGGACCTAGTAAGTATAACATCCTTCCTATTGATCATTTTTCCCTTTTGCTTTTGTAAAATACATCTAACACGTTTTCGACATGGTGTAATCAAGTGGCTATATGTCTCCTGAATATGCATCAGATGGTCTGTTTTCCCTCAAGTCAGATGTATTCAGTTTCGGAGTAGTCATACTTGAGATGATCAGTGGACGAAAGAACACAGGATTTTACCAATCAGAAGAAGCATTAAACTTGTTAGGTTATGTAAGTGCAGAAACTCAGACCTACATCATTTTTGTCCTTTTTGCAAGTTTTGATATCTAACTGGAAGTTATCACAGGCATGGAGAATGTGGATAGAAGAAAGGGCAATGCAATTAACAGAGAAGTCATTACTAGAATCATGCAATAGAAGTGAAGTGATGAAGTGTATCAATGTTGCACTCTTGTGCGTGCAAGAAGATTCAAATGATCGTCCTAAAATGTCAGATGTCATTGTAATGTTGGTAGGAGAAGGTACGAGTCTTCAGAGACCTAATAGACCAGCTTTTGTAATAAGAACACACGCGTCTAGCAGACCATCTTCTCCCTCAAAAGTCTCTAACAATCAAGTGACAATTACAGAAGAAGGAGGACGGTAGTAATGGTGTGAGATCATCTTAATTTTCATTTATATATGATACAATTGTAATGTTTTCCTGCAGACTTCTAAAGCACGAGCAGAAAAATAATCTATATTTTGTTAGTATCTTGATTGTAATTTGTAGCCATGACATTGTTATCCTTACACATATATTACATGCACTTTTCAGATCTCAATCATTTATCTCTTAATGCTTCCAAGTGGGGCTGCTCAACTAAAACCTTATCTCATAGTCTCTCGAGAACAACCAAATATAACAACATCATTAATCAATGGCCAATCAATTAATTACAATCATTACATAGTTGAACAAATAGGGTTAGAAAAACTCAATTATATAAAAATGTAACAAGAATTCATCTTGCATAAGGTTTTACCAAATTTCTAGATAGAAAATTAGCTACTCATAAAAGTATGTAAAAATACACTAAGAAAATTCATAACCAATAATAAAAAATAGAAAAAAGAAAGTAACGGAAAACTCATTATGTATCAAATCTTTCGCCTTGCTCCACAATGGCTCCTTGGTCTCACCTTAGGTCAAACCACCTCCAATACATGTTTATGAACTATTTATAGGTGTAGAAAAGTTTCAAATAAATTAATCAATTTCAAAATAATTTGAAAAAAAATCAAATTTAGAATTGACTTGACACACCATCCACGGACAAATTTCCAGTGACAAAAATTGTTGGGTCGCTTGGAATGGTGTTATTCTTCAATACTTGTGATTTCATAACTTTTCCTTGGGGACAATCATTATTTCCCCACTTGTCTCCCTCTTCTTTTACCTTTTTTTTCTTGTTTTAATTTAATTTTGCTCCGAATTTTGACATCTTCAAATTATTTCATACAATCTATTATATACCCATATTTATATGAGTGGATTGAAGTCCAATTCATTTTCAATATTGCTACTTTTTTGCCGCCACTAATTAGAAGAAAAATGAAAGTATGTTAGCAATAAGAAATATCAACTTGTTTTTTACTACATTCATCGACTCCAAAGCAGAAACGTCTCCTTATTGTTTCAGCCATATTCAACAAATTGTGTTATGTGTAGCCATCGAAATGAACAATCGTTGGCCTCTAGTACTCTTTTTATGCTTCAAACTCAACAGTAATCTATGTTTTGGAGGGGACACTATTTCCGCGAATAAATCTCTTTCATTTGGCGAAACAATAGTCTCTTCAGGTGAGAAATTTGAGCTTGGTTTCTTCAAATCAGGTAATTCTTTCAACTACTACATAGGCATATGGTACAAGAACACTATTTTATGGCAAAATGTAGTATGGGTAGCAAATAGGGATAAACCACTTGATTATGGTACTGCTAACTTAACAATTCTTCAAGGCAACCTGGTGCTTATCGATAAATTTCAAGGTATAGTTTTGTCAACACATGTTGCTAGGACTATTACTTCAAATAATTCAGTCATAGCAGTTCTTCGTGACGATATAAATTTGATTTTGAGTGATATGTCAAATTCATCAGCAACCTTAATACTATGGGAAAGTTTTGACTATCCAACAGATACATTGTTGCCTGGTGCTAAGCTTAGATACGACAAACGTCGTACACATAGGGGACAGGTTCTGATTTCATGGAAGAGTTTGAGTGATCCAGCACCAGGATTGTATTCTCTAGAACTAGACCCCATCCATGCCCGATTTGTTATAAAATGGAATAGGACTAAACAATTTTGGGCAAGTGGTTCATGGAATGGCCATACGTTCAGCCCGTTTCCTAAAATGGGGTTAGACTACACGTAAAATTACAACTATACCAACAATGGAAATGGATCATAAGTTACATATTCCCTTTCTAATTATACTAGTTCATGGCCACCAAAGTGGAAAATAGATGTCTCAGGAAAAATTAAGGAACTCGTATGGTTGGATAGTGACTCTCATTGGACTCTATTGTGGTCTCAACCTAGAGAACAATTTACGCTTATTGTGGGGCATTTGGAGTTTGCAATAATGCTAATTCATCCTGAAACTGTTTAAGCGGTTTCAAGCCAAGATCATATAGAGAATGGAGTTCGAATGATTATATGAGTGGCTGTGTAAGAAATGAAAAGTTAAAGTGCAGTGCAATTAATAAAGATGAGGATAGTTTTTGGATGAATTCAATTATGAGATTACCTGCTTCTCCAGATACTAATATCACCATTAGCGAAGCATCACAGTGTAGATCTACTTGTTTCAACGATTGCTCTTGCACTGCTTATACTTATGATGGTTCCGGTACCTGTTCAATTTGGAGAGGATATCTATTAAATCTGCAACAACTCAGCGAAAATGAAACAGGAAGGAGTATCTTTGTCAAACGCGGCTCAACTGAAGGTTAGAATAGCTAAAACTTAGTAGGATTTCTTATATACATTAGCAATTAGCAACAACAATGATTCTCCTTTTCCTTTTTCCTTAAGCTTGAAATAAATTCTTAAAAGGTATTTGTGAGTTAGCCTTATTAAGTTCCACCCGAGGCATTCGTCAAGTTATTCATATCATAATAGAAGGTTGATGTTGACAGTTGAAAGACTAAAGAAAAATTAAGTCTGAATTTTGATTTTTAGACAAAAGATGATGGAACATCAATCCAAATATTTCAGTCACTGCAATTCTTCGTGATGATGGAAATTTGATTTTGAGTGATGTGTCAAAGGCATCAACACCCTTACTACTTTGGCAAAGTTTTGACTACCAAACACACATACTTTTGCCTGGTGCTAAACTTGGATATGACAAACATACACAAAGAAAACACATTCTGGTTTCATAGAAGAATTTGAGTGATTCAGCACCAGGATTGTATTCTGTGGAAATAGACCCAAAGCATGTTGTTATAAAATAGAATAGGACTACAGAGTATTGGGCAAGTGGTTCATGGGATGGCCAAATGTTCAGCACAGTACCTGAAATGAGGTTAAGCTACATATATGATTGTAGATACAGAAAGGACTATATTTGTCAAGAGTGGCTCACCTTTAGGTTAGAATAGCATAGTGTAACATAGCTTGATTCTTTATTCATAATGGTACTATGATATTGATAGAATTCCTTATTAACGTTAGCACTTAACAACAATGATTCTCCTTTTCCTTTTCCTGTGTTGAGGAGCTTGTTGAGCAAACTAGAACTTAAGATAGAAATAATTCTTAAAAAGTATTAATGATAAGTTCTGAGGTCCAATGAATATTTGCATCAAAGTTCTTCAAGATAGATGCTAATATATCTAACATGGTTTTGGATTTATACTTTCAGCTCAAACTAAAGCTAAGAAATCGATGAAGCTAAAAGCACTCCTTTCGTCCATAACAGCTTTGATGTTTCTAATCATAGGCAGCTTTAGCTACATTTACTATAGAAGAAGAATGGCAAAAAGAGCAGGTATTTTCTGAATGAATATAACTCTAGAAGATATTTTTTCTTAAACCATTTTGGACTTGATATCAAAGTTCATTCTCAATCCAATTGAGGTAATGAAATCCCTCCCCCTTTCTATTTCAGATAGAAGTAAAGGTACTCAAGGGGCACATAAATCTCACTGGCACAAAGCTGAAGGAGAAGCGAAAGTATTGATGAATGAAAACAGTGATGAAGCGATTTGATGTTCCATACTTTTCACTTGGAGACCATTTTTGGCTGCTACAGACAACTTCTCAAATGCAAATAAGCTCGGACAAGGAGGATTTGGTCCTGTTTACAAGGTTAAAATTACAATCTTACATCTCTGTGGACTGGTATGGACGCACCACATTGACCAATAGTAATGAGATGAAAAACTTTTGGCAGGGCATCTTTCCTTGCGAAAAAGAAATTGCAGTGAAAAGGTTATCTAGTCATTCAGGACAAGGCATAGATGAATTTAAGAATGAAGTGACTCTAATTGCAAAGCTTCAACATCGAAATCTGGTGAGACTACTATTGGGCTATTGCATCAATGCAATGGAACAAATTTTACTATATGAATATATGCCACATAAAAGTCTAGATACATTCATATTTGGTAAGTTTGCCAAGATTTGTTCTTTATTCTCAAGCTACTATACTTTTGACAAGATTTAATTTTGTTAATTGATGTCATTTTATTTGTTCTAATGATAACTATGCAAGATGGAAAACTTTGCAAATTATTGGATTGGAAGAAGCGCTATGACATCATATTGGGCATTGGACGAGGTCTTGCTTATCTCCACCATGATTCACGACTAAGGATCATTCATAGAGATTTAAAAACCAGCAACATTTTACTAGATAAGGAGATGAATCCCAAGATTGCAGACTTTGGCTTGGCGAGGATTGTTGAAGGAAAAAGAACAGAGGCAAAGACAAAGAAAATAGTTGGGACCTAGTAAGTATAACATCCTTCCTATCGATCATTTTCTCCTTTTGTTTTTGTAAAATACATCTAACACGTTTTCGACATGGTGTAATCAAGTGGCTATATGTCTCCTAAATATGCATCAGATGGTCTATTTTCCATCAAGTCAGATGTATTCAGTTTCGGAGTTGTCATACTTGAGATAATCAGTGGAAGAAAGAATACAGGATTTTACCAATCAGAAGAAGCATTAAACTTGTTAGGTTATGTAAGTGAAGAAACTCAGACCTACATCATTTTTGTCATTTTTGCAAGTTTTGATATCTAATTGGAAGTTATCATAAGCATGGAGAATGTGGATAGAAGAAAGGGTAATACAATTAACAGAGAAGTCATTACTTGAATCATGCAATAGAAGTGAAGTGATGAAGTGTATCAATGTTGCACTCTTGTGCGTGCAAGAAGATTCAAATGATCGTCCTAAAATGTCAGATGTCATTGTAATGTTGGTAGGAGAAGGTTTGAGTCTTCAGAGACCTAATCGACCAGCTTTTGTAATAAGAACACACACGTCTAGCACATTGTCTTCTTCCTCAAAATTCTCTAACAATCAAGTGACAATTACAGAAGAAGGAGGACGATAACAATGGTGTGAGATAGTCTTAACTTTTTATTTATATATGATACAATTGTAATTTTGTCCTGCAGACTTCTGAAGCACTAAGCAGAAACTAGGTCTCATGCATGCTTTCCAAAAGCATATGGCCTTCATGAAAATTGTTAAATATTAAAATAATCTTATGCATAGTCGTTATATTGTTGTTTGTAGTAACAATAAATCCTGAAATCTCTTTTTTTAATAAACTATCTACACCCCAAACAGTGTAATTTTTTAAAACACTATCTTATGTATAATCGTTAATATCTTGATGTTGAACTTTTGTAGCCATTACTTTGTTATCCTAGCACATATATTAATGCACTTTTCAGATCTCTCTAGCCTCAATCTTATATTCATCGTTTAAGTACCTGCATTGTTGAATATCCAGTCTATTTGCATCCGTCTCGTTGTTGGATCAACTGAGTGATTGTTGTTAAAGAAAAAGGTGGGAACTCATGACCCCAGATCATAAAAGGGTGGTAGAGCTGCAGAAGGCATTGACGACGATGGCTTCTAACAACACCGGAGTAAGTGGGCAGACGCTACTGGGAACGCCCACACCACAAAGAGAATCAAGAATCCGTTTCGCAGCTGAGGCCCTTCCAGAAGAATATAGGGCTGACAGGTCGGGAAGTGGTTTCAAGATTGGAACGTTGATGCTGCAGTCTATCAGGTATGAACTCAGGTCGGGCCTGAAGGAATACCCTCCTGAACTAGATCCCCAGAGCATCTCTGGCCTTGAAGGGACCAGATCCTCAAAGTTGCTCTTAACTACCATACAAGGCCAGTGCCACACCGAAACCTATTCCAAAAAGGTTCAGGATGCCGGATATACCAAAAAATGACGCAAGCTTTGTAAAGATATGACACCTGGGTCTAACTCAACCCCAAAAGCTAGTTCATGAGGAGAGGATTGCCCAAGTCCATATAAGGAGACCACCAGTCCATTCTCCAACCAATGTGGGACTTTTACCTACTCTAACACCCCCCTTCACTCCCAGGCCTAGCTGGCACGTGGACCGGAGCCCAAATGGGGACGTGGCCTGGCTCTAATACCATGTAAAGATATGACACCTGGGTCTAACTCAACCCCAAAAGCTAGCTCATGAGGGGAAGATTGCCCAAGTCCATATAAAGAGACCACCAGTCCATTCTCCAACCAATGTGAGACTTTTACCCACTCTAACACCCCTCTTCACATCCAGGCCTAACTGGCGCGTGGACCGGGAGCCCAAATGGGGATGTGGACCTAGCTCTGATACCATGTAAAGATATAGCACCTGGGCCTAACTCAACCCCAAAAGCTAGCTCATGAAGGGAGGATTGCTCAAGTCCATATAAGGAGACCACCAATCCATTCTCCAACCAATGTGGGACTTTTACCCACTCTAACAAGCTTGAATACCCTCATTAAGCAAACATGCAAGGGAGATTTCGTCTATCTCGCCTTGGTTTTTTTTGGTAAGGTTTCAAATAGTCGGCCACCATGACTATTTTTTAGAGAAGGTTAACTTTTTCAAAAACCAATAAACCCTTATCCTCAAAGATGGGACTAGAGCGGCCATCGCCGAGATGAAAAAAGCTAGCTTTTCAGGGGGAAGATGAAGGCTGGGATATGATCTTTGTTGCACCCAACCCTGAGCCAATATGAGTATAAGGTATAGGCCAACGAGATTTGACCATTTCGACATGTTCAACCTCAACGTACAATTGTTCGACCTCACTGAGGTCTGTGATAGAGGTGGCCGAAGATCTCTTCTTTGTAAGAGGTAAGGCATCATCACAAATCTCCTCAATGTAAGACTCAGCTGGCAGCAGTGATCAGTCCATTGCCATGGATAACAGTTGAGGCCTTATCAGGTTTTTTCTTCTTTTGTGGCGAAGAATTAGAGGCCACAACTGTTTCCTCAGCAGCAATGGCCGGTTATGAGGGACGTTTGACCCTGAGAACACAGTCACATATTGTCGAGCTTCCTACGGCGTAACAAACTCTTTTGGTTCGCAGCTCGGACGAACCCTTTGGAAGACCTATGTGTACAAAAATATATTTTAAAAAATGGATATACTTTCATATGAGTATTTTAGAGAAGAATTAATAAGAAATACAGTGATTTTAGCTTTTTAGCCTTTGACGCCGGATATTTGCTTCCATGACCGATCCTTGGACACGGCAATGTCCAAAACCTTTGAAACCATTGCCAGATAGGGAGTCGTTAAACAACAACCAAGCATGCGCTGAGTAATAAATTCTATATGAACTTAAAACAGGGTATCGAAAGACCGCAAAGAGAGAAAATGTATGAAGACTTGTGGGTAAGGTTCCATGATTCTGGAATCAGGTACTCCAGAACAATATCTTCGGTGGTGACGATAACAATTCTCTCCATCCAACGGTGGTCATGATCATTATCTAGACTTGTGCGAGGAGAATAAAGCAAGATCAAGTAATCCAAAGAAAAGGATTGACTGGCTTTCTCAGCCAACACTCAGAGGCAAGTCAGGGCCCTTCAAATGACCGTACCCACTTGCGCCAGACATATCTGGTAGAACTAGTAGAATCGGATGAAAACCTCGTCTATTTCTGGGTCTCTGAAGTTGAGAGCGAAGCAGTAAGAATAGATAAACAAATAACTGGGTTTGGAGAAGTTTAAGCTCTCGATAATACCAGGAGAAAATACCCTAACTTTATCTTCTGGCTACTTATAGTTAGACCGAATGGTGGGTAGATGTTCTTCACAGATTAGAGAAACAGTAACACTGGCTAGTTTTCAAAACTATTATATCAACTGAAGGCTCTGGGGACTCAACTTATACTTATTTGTTTTCCTTCGGGCCACCATCGAAGAGAGAAGAATTAGGATGAGTCGGAGACGAAACATCGTTGGTAAAATCTGGGAAAGAATGAAAATAAGAAGGTTTGAATATAACGAGATGTGAAGTTTTGAAGATTCAAGGATTAAAGGCAAGAAATCAAAGAGATGAAGAGAAACTTGGAAAATTGTAGAAGTTGGGAATTGGTACAAAGGGCACTATTTATAGATTCATGAACGAAGAAGTCATCATTATCTTGATTGACGCGCCATTTCTGGATCAGGATCTAGACGATGCATGGTAAGCGCATTTACAGCGATGGGATATTCACCTCTGTGAATGTCAAGAGACGTTTCATTTACTTTCCTGCCTAGGAATTTTGAAAATACTCTGCTTTCTGGTTACAAGTTAGCAAAGTATCCGAAAAGCGGGGGTACTATCTGTATTAGGGAAAATTATCATGTATATGTGGACACTTATAACAAAGGGACACCAAGCATCAGAGTGTTACCGGAGGATGATTTAGCATAGAGACATCGGGAAGAGCTTCCTTCGAGATGTCATCGTTTAAGTACCTAAATTGTTGCACATCCACTCCGTTTGATTTTATCTCATTGCCGGATCAACAAGTGATTGTTATTAAAGAAAAAGGTGGAAACTCATGGCCCAAGGTCATGAAAGAAGAAGAAAGGGACTTGTGGCCCGAAGACACGTCAACCAGGTCTGGATAAGATCCTGCGAATCACGGGAGAATAATAGTTGGCTCACGTAACGGTATTTCCAGGTGGATTACTTTAATTGGACAATGTACCTTAGGGCTCGAGTGGAGTTTTCCTATTGGCTGGTGTATTTTCTTTGTTGCCTATGATTTCATATCATGATTTCATCTCATATGATCAAACAGGCTCTAAGAGAATATGTATCTACTTTCAAATGTTTGGTCGGCCTAAAAGTGCTTAGAGAAAAGTGTCATGGCTGACAAAATCTTGAAAGAAGCCATGAGTGGACACAAGCAGGTGAAACTTTGACAAAAGGCATCAAAAAACTTCAGTAGATTGAAAAAAGTATAAAGAAGTTACAGGCTCTTATCTAATGGGCCAACTCTCACTACCTCAAAAGTTCACTTGGGAAATTTCACAAACACATTGTACGCGATTTACTAATGGACAATAAACACACACAAATAACAAGTATTCCAATATATATTTGAGTTGTAAGAAATTGAATATGGATTAACAAAGTACCTGTCTGTGGTTATCGATTCTGCAACAAGCGGCAAGTGGAAATGCAGGGAGGCTGCAATCTTTGTGGGATAAATTGGAGGAGAAATACATTGTTGACAAGTCATTGTCTCCATTTGTATCAAACCATTGGTTTAGAGTTGAAATGTGAATACATAACACACAACATAATTAAATTGATTTGACTTGTTTTATTACAGTGTTTGGACAACTGTTACTATTGTTTCATAATGTATCGTATTATATTATATTATTTTGTATTGTTATCACGAATATAATGTTTGGATAGATTGTATCTTTCTGTGTTGATTGTTGTTACATAATGTCATAAATTCCTAATTTGAATTCATTAACCTACAAGAAAAGTAGGGTACGAGTAGATGTACTGTGAAAAGGTAGGATAAAAGATAAAATAAATTACTAAATAATAAATAAAGAAAATATTTAAATAACAATGCAATTACACCAAATCGATCATTACATAAAATGAGTCTTTTTGTCGTCACTTAACGATAGATTTAAACGATACCATGTAATAGAATTTAAGTAACAAATATTATATTTAAACTAAAAATAAGTACGACAAATAAATTGAAATGGAAGGAGTATATTAAAATGTTAATCTCTCTTCAAAAAGTATTTTTAATCACAATATTGAAGTATGTGTATATATGCTCTTCAATTAAGTTTTCTATGTCAATTAATCAACGTTTATTACTTTTAAGAATAATTCCTACTAAGGGCAAAGCGAGAATAATGTACTCAATTATATTTTGGTGTTCTAAAATGAGAACTACTCCGAATCATCTATTTTTAGTAAGGATTACAAGTAAAGGGGTTCAAAATGGAGTATCATATTACTCCTTCAATTTAATTTTACTTGATCCTGTATTAAAAACATATTATTATTTTTACTTGTGCATTATAGCAAATCAAGAGAGTGTTATTATTTTTTTCATATTACTCTTAGTATTAAATAACTATATAAAGTAGTACTAGTCAAATTGAAATTTCAAAGCATCATTAATGAGGTTAGTTTAATAAAATACACCTCAAATAAACGTTTTTTAAGAATTTCTCTGAAAGAAGCAAAGTGAGTATATTTTATCGTTTTTATTGTTTTTAATCGTATAGATGGCCTAAAGTCAAACTTTAACGAGGACATTATTATTATTATTATGATTAAAAAGTATCATATATATATTCTTATTGAGTATATTTTGTTTAGCTTTTTGAGTTATTAAAGTTATTACAATAATCTTCTCATTCACAATAAGGATTTAGGAGAGTGATTCATTTTTTCACTTTTTGCTCAAACGATTATATCAATCACAAAAAAGAAGGCTATCCTTCATTTTTGTGAATAAGTTTTTTTTTTTGAAATACCAAAAAAATAAATAATTAAAAGACAAATTAACCAACAAATCTATAATTGGTAAAAATTGGGTGTCATATTTTCTTAACTAGAGGTCTTCGGTTTGAGCCTTAATCGGCCTTGGGTGGAGAAAATTTAAATTAATCAAGAAACCAATACATATCGAATGTCGAGTGAGAAAAAAAAATAAAGATTGTTCAACTTATGTTGTACCAAGCAAATGTTCACATTCGCATTGTTTCAACTTATGCTGCTCAGATTACTCATTATGGACGGGTGCGTGTCGAATCCTCTAGACTTGATATATTTTTGGAGGATTCGACACGGATACAACAACATTTTTGAAGAGTGTGAGAAGTATATGTTTCAAAGAAGCTAACCAGGTGACTAGCAATTTAGCAAAACTAACCACCACCCTTGAAGAAGATATATACCTTCTTTCCTACTTTGATAAAAGACTAGAAATTAAATGGCATCGCATCTTGATATTTAACCTAGCATAGTATTGTTGGAAAATATATGGTGAAAGTATAATATCATATAAATAATGATACAAAAATTAGGATAAATACTACTACATGCACTGTCTTAAGAAACTATTTTTGTAGTGTGAAATGTTTTTCAAGATTAAACAAGTCTTCTCTAATTAATTAGAAAATACATGGATCAACAAAATATAAATACTACAAAATATGCAAGTCAGAAGAGGATATTTGGAAATTGGCCAAGTCGTACTACTTCACTTAGTTGTGTGTCCTCAAGACTACATCAACTTAAATTATAGGAGAGCTTAGGAGGTTAAGCTTGGAGAAGAGGAAACCATTTTCACTATGCATTACTTGGAGACCAAGGAAATTAATACTTGTTGATCAAGTTGATGACATAAGTAAAGCAATGCTGTCTCTCTCTCTGGCAGCTAATTAATAAATTAAGTATCCAAAGTCTCATCTTCATTACTATATAATACTAATCTATACTGGAGATATAGAAGATGAGATTAACAACTTAGATCTTTCTTTCTTTCTCCCGTATACGCCACAAATTAAGCAGTTGAAGAATGGACAGTGCAATGGCATTGATGAGTTCCAACATCATGACTCTGCCTTGTGAAGTCTTGGTGGACATACTCACTAGACTTTCACTCAAACATGTCCACCAACTTCAAACTGTTTCAAAGTTATGGTTCAAAATCATCTCTAGTCCACATTTCAGAAAACTCTACAACATGAAATCCATGACTCGTCCTCGAGCACGTGTAGTTCAAGTACCTGACACCAAGTGTTCACCGAACTGGGAAGTGATTAGTCGAACCATCATTATATCGGCTATGGACTTCAATATTGACAACAGTGAGATCCATGAAGAATTCAGTTTTGAGGATATTATTGCCCCTCAACACTCCTTCATCATATCATCCAATCTCATCATTTTCAATCACAAGGTATGCAATCCTACAACAAAAGAGATCATAGACATTCCAATATCAAGTCATCCATCAATTAGTTTCGATGCTACGTATATCCCATCCAACAATACATACAAGATTGTCCATTTATATGGTACCAAACCTGGCCATGACTACACCTTCAACTATGGTGGTATCCCTCTAGAGTTCCGATTTGAGACTCTTACACTACGAGACGGAGGACCAATTCCTAGTTCTTGGAAAGCCCTGACACACCAAGGATGGTTTTATAGTAAGATAGAGTCAACATGTGTAAATGGTGTAGTTCATTGGTTGCTTGAAAGAGGACCTCAAATGGAAAGGCGTATTATTTCAATGGATATTGAAAGTGAGGATTTCTTGAGTTCCATTGGTTGCCCTAATAATCCATATGTGGAAGAGGCACCGATATTCGAGAATGTCCAGTTAGCAGATTTGAATGGGAGGTTATGTTTAGCTTACTACTCAGAAGAATTATTCAGGCTGGATCTATACATTGTCAAGGATCAGACGAACCAAGAATGGGTAAAGGAACATACTATCAATTTATCAGGTATGGGGAGTTGGTTCAAAATAGTGGGGTATGTACAATTACAAGGTAACAATGGAGACATTGTTATTGATGGTAAACAACTTATCCTCTACAACATTGAAGAGAACAGGTTTAGAAGTCTACCTAGGCCTAAAATGAAGATTCATATTGGCTTGTACTTTGATAGATGTTTCAAGTTAGAAAGCACAAAACTATCTATGCAACCAACTGTAGATTTTCTATCTAATTAATGGATCTTTGTATTAATGAACTTGTACTCTAAATGGATTTGAGTCTTCTACCTAGTGAAATTTTAGCTATGTAGTTCATTGAAAAGGGATGCAAAATGGTTGAAAGAGACTTTGTTAAGGGAAAAGACATTGTAAAACCATTAAGTTAGTCATATGGAACTCTGTCACCTAAGAAGTAGAATGTGGAGGTTTGGGTATCAAGAATCTAAATATGCAAATAGGAGTCTCTTGATGAGATGGTTGTGGAGATTTAGGGGGTCATTTGGTAGCTGATTAGGAGGTAAATTGTTCATGTATTAAACTATTGCATAAGTAATATCATGTTTCGAAGCATTCTTTTTTTATGTATACAATTAATATGGTGCTTGATTTGCAATATAGAAACCTGCATAACTAATATATGTATAAGTTATGACGAAATTTATGTATTATTTTATGACGGACAGAAGATAGAATAATTAGAACCTGCATAACTATTACATAGTTTTACCACTCAAATCCTGAAGATAGATAGATATATGTTAAAATGTTCCATAAAAATTTAGACAGTTACATAGATCAGCTGCATATCATTTAAAAAAAAGAAAGGCGCGAATCAATTCAGAGTATCTCACATTTTGAAGTCGTCTTTGATGGTAAATCTCTCACTCGTAATCGTTCCACTGCTGGCAATGGTAGTTTTGTTCTCTCTAATGTAAAACATCTATCATAATACAAGCAAGTATAGTTGACATTTGATTTTTGCAGCTTTCTTCCCCTTTTCTCTTTAATGTTGTAGCGGAAAGGTGTTGTACCATTAATAAGGATGTCACCATTGTTACCTTCAAGTGGTACATACCCTACTATTCTCACCCAATCTCCCATACCCGATAAGTTGATATCATATTCCTTGACCCATGTTTGATTCGTAGTACGATCTTTGAGCAAGAACAGACTCATTCTTGACAATTCTTTCGAGTAGTAAGCTAAACAGAGTTTCCCATTCAAATCAGCTAACTGGCCTTGCCCAAATAGTGTATGATCATCTTCTTTAGGACAACTAATAGTCAAGAATTCTTCATTTTCATTTTCACTTTCCATTGATATGATATGTGCCCCTTCTTCCATTATTCTAACTAACCAATACATTACACCATCTACACATGTTGCATCAATCAAGTAAGAAAAGTATTCTTTATGCGCTACGAATTGCCAAGAGGTAGGAATTGGTCCACCATCTCTTAGTGTGAGAGTCTCAAATCCAATCTCCAAGACTTCACGAGTACCTAATAATTTGTTATAACGAAATAGATGGACAATCTTGTATGTATTGGTAGAAGGGATATACGCCACATCGAAACAAAATGATGGATAGCTTGAATTATTTGGTAAATTTATGATTTCTCTAGTTGTGAGATTGCATACCTTATGTTGGAAAATGATGAGGTTTGATGAGACACGAAAGGAATATTCACGTCCAACAATTTTAAAACTTAAATGATCTCTCTGAATCTTGATGTTGTCGCTAACAAGGTCCATAGTCGAAATTGTGATAATTCGACTTGTAGGTCCGAGGCCACTGGCTGAATATGTTTCATCAGATTCTTGAACTACAAGTGCCCGGGGACGAGTCATGGATTTCATGTTGTAGAGTATTTTGAAATATGGAGTAGAGATGTTAGTGAGCCACAACTTTGAAACAGTTTGAAGTTGGTGGACATGTTTGAGGGGAAGTCTAGTGAGTATATCTGCAAAGACTTCACAAGGCAGATCCATGATGTTGGAGCTTAGATCCATACTAGTAGTAGCCATTTTTCCACTGATCTGTGATCTAGAAAGGTGAGAGAGAGAGAGAGATTAAGTTCATGTTTTCACATTGCTACAGTTGAAAACTTGTTCAGCTCTATATAAATTTAAGCGTTTATTTGTACACCTAACATTAAAGGGCATTGATACCCATTAAGGCTACGATAAAGGACACATTTATGTATCATGTTATTTTTAAAAGTAGGTAAGACCCTGTCCATATAATAACATGTAAATACGCAAAAAGAGGGATTAGGTTGTTATATTATATAAATAAACCGTGCCAAGTTGGGATAATCATATGTTCTTCCTTCTAAACTATCATCATAGATTCATAGTCATACCTGGAACAAAAAAGGCTTAACTCATCCGTAGCTCCTTAAAGTTGTTCGCATAATTCGTTTAAACACCTCAACTAACGCTTAAAGAGAGTGAACCACACGTTTTTTGTCATGTCAGCATTTTGTGTCCAATAAGAATGACTTTTGAACAGTTGAGGTGTTCAATAGGCACAACCTATAATTGAGATGTTTAAATGAAATATGCGGACATCTTTAAACTAAAATTCTTGCTAATATCTTAAACCCATCGAAAATTTCCAGCACTAAAATAAGTAAGCAACTTGCAAAAAAGTCAGAATTAAGGAGACAAAGACAACTTGCCTTATTTTGGTAAATAGTAAACTAATAATCCCCTTTATCGGGACAAAACAAAAAACCAACCTGATATAAAACATTACTCCCACAGTTTCATTTTATATGATAAATTAATTTAGTTCGATATGGAGTTTAAAAAGAAATGAATACTTTTGAAATTTATAGTCTAAAATAAGTGATAAATATTTTTGTGACTATAAATCATTTCATTAATGATTAATGAACATTTTAAAGTTAAATTATTACTCCCTCCATTTCATATTAATTGAATTGTTGAGACATTTTTCATTTTTCAAATTAACTTAATTGTTCAATTTTCAAGACTACTTTTAGAATGTTTTTCCAATTTTACCCTTCATTAGTTAGTATTGGAATTAGTTATTAATTAATGTTTAGTTATTTTAATCATAATTTTGATAATAATTAATAAGGGTAAAAATAGAAAGTTAAGCCTAATTTATGTCTTAATCTTTTTTCTTAAAAGGCGTGAAACACCTCAACAATTCAATTAATATGAAATGGAGGGAGTATTTAATATAGAAATGTGTCTTTTTTTTTAACCTGACTAAAAAAAGAAAGTAAATCATATAAATTGAGAAAGAAAATAAGTAAAATAAAGGGATAAGGGTTTAAAAAATACCTCAACTTTGGTCGAATTTGTTGTTGTGATACTAAACTTTCATGAGGACCTATTACCTCCCTAGACTATTTAATACNNNCAACTTTGGTCGAATTTGTTGTTGCGATACTAAACTTTCATGAGGACCTATTACCTCCCTAGACTATTTAATATTGTATTTTAAACATATATATTTGTCCACGTGGACATAAAAAATAATGTAAAATTATAAATAGTAATGTGTCCACGTGGGCACATATATATCTTTAAAATATACTATTAAATAGTTCAGGGGGTAAAAAATACACTATTAAATAGTCTAGGGAGGTAATAGGTCATCATGAAAGTTTAGTATCGCAACAGCAAATTCGACCAAAATTGGGATATTTTTCAGATCGTTATCCCTAAAATAAAGCAACTTGCACAAAACCAGGTTTGTTATCCCTATAAATTTCTCTAGTTCTCAATGAGATAGACACAACTCCAATATCTAGCAACATAGTATAGCAAAATGGATAGCAAGATTTCTTCAACAAAGCTGGCTTGTATTGTTGCTTATTTACTTTTTGCATGCTGTAAGTAATTCTTTTCATTAAACTTATGAAGTATTACTTATTAGTCCACTTAAAAAATGATTTTTTTTACAAAAATAGTTTAATTTCAAACTTCTCCTTTGTTTTTAGAAAATTTCATCACAAGTTTAACACTACAAATTCATAAAGTTTTTTCTTTCTCTTTTCAATTTCATATCTAATTAAACTATGCTACATAAATTAAAACACGCGTGTTGCTCTCCAATATGCAGTTTTCCAACTTCTTACGGCAAACGAGGAGGTCAAGTTAAATGATGAGTTAAAAGTCATGCAACTTCCGGAGGCAAACTCAGAAGCACTTGATGGTGTGTTTCAAGTGTCTGTAACTCGATATGGTATGATCAGATCAATATTATCTTTAAATTATTTTATTCCCAAATTCGTATATATTTAATCAGTTTTAAAATTTTAAGTTTATGAATTTTTATAACAACTTCACAATTAGGTTCATAATCAAATACTTATAATATCTAGTAAGATTTTAAATTATATATAAAATCTAGATCAAAACTACTGAATTCACGTGAATCCATAAATAACATAATTAGTTCTTTTATTTTTTTAGTCTATATATCAAATATTAGAACATGATTTTCTTTAGTTCATTTTCTTTTTAACAATTAAATAACAAGTGACTCAATTTTTATTTTTTTTATTTTTGCAGATCGACAACATGTTGGTTCAAAATAAATTGGTGTATGTATCGACCCACCTCCTTGTGGATCTGACGGTGAGTGTGCTAACTCAGGTTGTGGCCACAGATGTTTGAGGGATGGGTGGGGGTTTTCGTGTCTGTCACATTTAAAATTGTATGCCATGGCATGGAACTCTTATGGTTTTTCTTATCAGAATAAAATTGTGTGTATTTGAAAGTTTGTAATCGCAAACATTTAATTATAAATGAAATATGGAGATTTGCGATTTATCAATATAGTATCTTACGATAATGTTTATCAAGAAAAAATGATTCAGTTAAATTTGGATATATGAGGTTAAGAACGCACGTCTTAGCTCAACTCATTAGATTTAGTTATTAGCAGTTGAATATTGTGATATTTGTAACAAAAAATAATGGCTTATGTGCATGTTCCGTTCAATTATAAGACCACTAAAGTAATAAATTGGTGCTTTAGTTTTTTCTAAGGATGTGTTCTATATATAAATTGTTAAAAATCTCGATTAAATTTGAAAAGAGAAATGCAATAGTGTTTAGGTAATTTTAGTATCATTTCGTACGTGACTATCTATTTTGTTGCCTTATTTTTATCCTGTCAATTAACATGACCTCACATTATTATTTTCATATTTATTTTTTTCATTTCCATTCCACTATTTTATTATCTTTTTATTCAATAATTTGAAGTTTCTCAAACGATTGTACATATTACATTACGTAAAATCTATAGTCCTCTGTCTATAAAAAAAAAATCAAACTTAGTTTTTGATGTCTATTTCAAGCGCCAGCGCGCTCCTCACCTCAATGCTACACTTCGGCAGCTACGAACTAAGACGCTTCAGAAGAAAAGCTACATCCACTACCTGCATTCACCCTGACAGGCTAACCCGAGCTTACCCAGGGCCTTACCGCCCGAACCAGCAAGACTAATGTCTACTTATACCTTTGAGAGGTCCACTTATACTATTGATAAAGTCTCTAAATTAATAAGGCCCCGGTTGTGTTGTTATATAAGATGAAATTCAATCTAACAAGCGGACTACCTTCGGCTACTACAAGATCTTTATAAACCAAAGAATGAGCCTACTTTACGCACTTCCGCACTAAGCAGGCAAGGCCAACTACACAAGCAAGAAGGCATCGCTTGCGGCTTCCAATCCAATGACAAGCAAAAGACGAAGAAGTAACTTACTATACCTTACCTCCTTGTGCCCATAGCTTGACCTCCGCCCTTTTCTACCTGCACGGATGCCTTCGCTTTGCAAAGTCAACATTATTTCAATATCATTATATCAACTTATAAAATCCTTTGCAACATTAATTCGATATCATTATATCAATTTCTCAAATTCTTGGGAAAACTTTGTTATTCTAACTTAATATTATATTTTTCATTGAGAATTTGCGTTGTTTATATTCTTACTTTATAAGGTTTGCGTATATTTTACCTTTTCAAATCTCACTCGTAGAATTACTAAGTATGTTATTGTTAATCAATTTATATATGTCTATACAAGAAGAAAAAAAATTAAGCCCTCTCAATTAAAATTCACTTTAGACCTCCAATCTTGTTAACACGACATCGCTTGTGGGAATATAGGAAAAACTGATAAGCCCTCTTTTACTGAATGAATACTGTTTTTTCATGGATTTCAATTTGTTACACCATAGTTGTGTGTAGATGTTGTAAAATCAAACTCAATTCGCTTAACTTGCTCATTAATCCATTTAAGTTTGAGTGAGTTATTGACTTACTTATTTATTAGGTCAATCTATTTCAGCCCAATAAAAATTGGATTGTTATGCCGTCCAAATTAACTCATGAAAAATTTTGTGATAAAAAAATATTTTTTATATAATATGTTATATATAGCCATAATAATGAAAACAATAATTTTATTAGCTATTAAAAAAATAGAAAAAAGAAATAAAGACATCAAAATATAATATGAATTGAGCGAGTTGAGTTATGACCCATATTTTAGCACATTTCAACCCAAAAGTGTCAATACACACCTAAACTATTCTTTTTTTTTTTGAATTTCATACCTAAATATATTGAGAGTGTGAGTTTTATATCTAAACTATCACTTATTAGTTTGAGAAACACACCTCTATCTTTTATAACACTCTCATCATGGTGTGTGTAATACACTCTCTTTTATTTAAAAAAAATTACCACATCACACTCCACGTGGACAAAACAGTTCACCTTAACAAAAATTAAATAAATTATTACTATTAATTAAAATTAAAGATTAAAAATTATTAAAATATTTTTTTTATAAACTTTTAAAATGTAAAATATTTTTCTTACCCATTCCATCACGTCCTATCACTATATCCCCCCGCCCGCCCATTTCTTTAGTTTTGTTTTTGTTTAAATTTCTTTTATAAAAGTATTTAATTTTTTTTTATTCATCTCCCCTCCTCTTCAAATATTAATTTATATATTTTTTATTTTTTTTTAAAAGAAAAATCACACACTTTACCTAACTCTCTGCTTCAATTTTTTTTTTCTCTCTTATTGTGTTAGATATATAAATATCGAAAATATTTTTTACTTGCCGTCGCAAGACTTTTTTTAAAATAAATTTTTTATTTATTTTATATTCGATACACAAGTAGAAAAAAATTCCTAAAAATATATGTACATATCTAACACAAAACAAGAAAAATGTAAAAAAAAAATAGGAGTGGAGATTTAAACAGGGTGGGGTAGAATTTTTATTTTTTTAAAATAAAATAATATCAATTTTTTTTAGGGAATGAATGGTTTTTTTTTGTTGAGGGGGGAGGGGGAAATATGATTTTAAAAAAAATATTTTATAAATTTTATTTTTTAAAAAATCATTGTTTTGGGATAGTAATACTTTAGTCTTTAGTTTTAATAGTTTATTATTTAATTTTTGTTAAGATGAAATATTTATCTATGTGGAATGTCATGTGAAAAAATTTTCAAATAAAAAAGAGAATGCATTATTTCTTAAACTAATAATTGATTGTTTATGTAGGAAATTCACACTCTCAATAGTTTAGATATAAAACTCAAAAAAAGAAATAGTTTAGGTGTATTTTTAACCCTTGTATCATTAACTCAACCCAGTTTAACCATTGAAATTCAATCCAAACCCGTCCATTCGACAGAGTCTAGTTCCGCACATCCCTCGAGTTGCCTTCCTGGACATTTCAGTCCATTCAAAAAATTAGAATGGGAAACATAAAATTTGCCATTGAAATGAGCTACTTTCCATCACCAAATAGCTTGGTTTCATCCAATTGCAAGTTTTGGTATGGTAGGGATATCCATTTGTTTGTGGAGAGCCTCCAATCCGAATTCAAGTCGTTATTTGTAGATTGATCAATTTTGTATGTATTGGTAGACTGGGATATACCCTACAGCTAGCAGGATTGAAAATGAACTCTTCAAAATTATTGGTCCGATCGGTCTGCTCTGAGCTTCTTCAACTGTAAGTGCTCCAACTCTTGTTGTTGTAGAATTTATTCAAATCACTACTTACTTGGGATTCAGGCGAGCAATTATTGTTGTGTAGAGTCTATTGAAATGACTGGATATGATTCTCCGAGCAACTGGTTGAATGCTTGAGTAAAAGCCTAGTGAACATTATGTTATTGCTTCTTTTTTTTCTTTCTTATCTGTGAACATTATGTTATTGCATTCACAAGCTAAGTAACAAATAAGTATCTGTTTTAACGATAATCAAGATATAAAATAGAAGATTAGGCAAAACTAGATATTTGTAAATGTAAGGGTTGTGTGCTCTTGTTTATGTCCATTGTCTGGTTGTGTCGATCAAGATGTACTTATGCTATTTCTTAGGTCTTTAATTAAATGTAATTGGAAGAAAATTTAGTTTCTATCGAAATGAAGACTGGAAATGATTCTGAGACACTGGTTTGAAACTGTTCTATTTCGGTAGACTGTTTGTGTACATACCCATCAACATCTTTTAGCTACTGGATTTCATTACTTTTGAAGAGTTAGTGTAACAAAGAATAACTTGTTTTAACATTAAAGGTGACTCCTCCTTGGTTGTTTTACATTACCTTGTTACTTTTATTACCCCATGTTATGTTTTTCTCTACAAGACCCTTTGTCACTTGAACGAAAGAGGTTAAATTTCATTGCATATAATGGGAAGAAACTTTATATCTGTTACACATACTGGGCAAACAGGACTGCAGAAAAAGTTAGTAATACAAGTTTCAACAATGTGGCTTTAAATAAACACAGTTTGTTAAAAAGCATATGCAATAGTGAATCAACCATGTCTATCCTTTTCTTTTTTGAACTTTCTGTTGATTAATACTTCAGACATTTGTTTTGGAGTTTTGTCCTTTAATTGCAACTCCTTTCTTTGTTTCTTTCCTCAGTGCTTTTTCTCCTGCATATTTTGGACAATTTTTTCTTTCTTTTAAGGGAGGTGGTTGGGCCAATAACATATTGAGTTAAGAAAGAAAAAGTTTGAAATATTATACATTTGAAAGCATCAGGAATAATCGAATTACTCGAGTACTTGGATTACTAATGCCTACTACATTCTAAAGAAAAAATATTTTTGTTTTTGAGTACAAACATTCAACATTTCCACCTTTTGTCCTTGCTATTATAGAGAAGAGGACATTGACCAAGTACCAACGCAAAATTATCACTAGACTCTTTTAGGACCAAAGTAGAGGTCAACTAGGGATGAAACAGTACAATATGGCTCATCTTTATGTCCTAATCTCACCCCTAGCCCTTTCCATGTGAATTAATTGGCTTCACTATTCCTGCTAACGTCCTTCTTCAACTGTAATTGTCGTCTGATTGTTTGATACAATGTATTTCTTATCGGAGGAAGAAGAAGATGTGCTAGAAGCATGCGTCCTTATTACAAAAGCTGGTCTATTGGGTGTTGGAAGGTTAGTACCTTCCCCTCCCAGCATTACAATGACATCTGACATATTAGGACGATGATTTGGATCATCTTGTACACACAGGAGCGCAATATTTATGCACTTTATTGCTTCACTTCTGTTGCATGATTCAAGTAATGACTTCTCTATTAATTGTGTCTCGGCTTTTTTCTCTTCCACAATTTCCATGCCTGTGATAATTTTTCTATCAGAGAGACAAAGCTAAGAAGAAGATATAATAATTAAGTCAGGGGAAGTTTCTTCACTTACATAGCCCAAC